TTGGTGGGGGGGGGGGGGGGCCCCGGGGGGGGGGGGGGGGGGGGGGGGCTTCATGCAGCTCAGCTTCCTCCTGGCCAGCACCTTTTAGCCTGCCCTTGAGAAGATTACAATTCTCCTCTCCTGATCCCAGGCCTCCTGGAACTTGAGGCAGACAGTGAAATCCTGAATGCAGGTTCCTATCAGCATCCCCCGGGGGAAGGAAACTGGCTCTGACTTCAGACAGCTTGAATCCCAAAGGTCCACCCAGCCCTCAGCAGGAAGTTTTTTCCAGAACTTGCCCACGGCCCTGGTGACATCACTAAGATGTGGGTGGAGAAGGCCTTGGGGCAGGTGAAGGTGTCCACACCATAAAGCTTCCTGGAGGAAATGTCATGCGAATGAGGAAAGGGAAGGCCAGAGAGAAACGAATGCTGAGGTGTGGGTGACAAGAGCCCTTCTTGGGTGGTTAAGATAGAAAAAGGCAGTCTTATTAACCAGTTTTCTCCGTCCTTGAGGCCCTCATTGCGGTGGAATGAATAAAGGCTTTGGCATGAGGCCAGGTTCCATCTCTGGCTGTACTGGTTCCTTGCTGTGTGACTGTGGGTAAGCCACTTAGCCTCTCTGATCCTCAGATACTTTATCTTGAAGTGGCCACATCACACAAACTTCCGCAAATATCCCCAGAAGCCTTTCTCCCAGTGCCTCCCAATACTAGTAACATAGATGTCTCCTTGTTGTCCTCCCTTTCTCTCTCCCTAGAGACAAACTCTCCTTAACCATCGAGACAGCAAAACATATCCTATACCTTTCACCCCATGGGATAGCTCCCTGTCAGTCTCTCTTTCCAACAGGAGAAGCCTGTCACTGCTTCCGAGTGAAGGGACAGCTGTGACACAGGGCTGTCCTGATGCCGCATCCCACAGCCACCCTACCTCTCAGAGGGTGACTTTCTAGATTGCGTGCGATGAGAATGGAAACACACGAGGGGCCCGAAACAGACTGCCAGGGGCTGACACTCTGTGGGTGGGGAAAGAGAAAGGGACAAACCCAGGCCGAGAAGGTGGCAGAGGGCAGACCCAGGTGAAGGAAAGACAGTGAAGTTTTAAAAGGGGCATCAAGTGTGGCTGGTGGGAGGAGAAGTCAGTCAAGAGTAGAAATGAAGTGGGGAGCGGTGGAGCGACAAGGAGGTGAGGCGGAAAGAAAGGGAAACACCTCAATTTAAAAGAGGAAAGAAAGAATGGGAGTGAGAAAGATGAAAAGTCCCTGAGACATTGATAGAACTCCCATCCTTCTCTGCGTCCTGCAGACCTCATCCACCCACGCCCAGCACAGGAACCGCTGAGGGGAGCTGGCCCCGGTCCCTGGACATGGGGCTGTTTGTCCATAAGATGAGGCGATGGAAAAGGCCATTGCTGGTTGTCAGTGGAGATGCATGACCACTGTCCTGGGGAGGGGTTCCCCTACCCCACAAGGCTAGGCCACAATAAAAAAAGCTTTCCATCCATGAGCAAGGGCAAGCCATGACTTCCACGGTGCCGATCATCATTGGCATAGCCCCATCCGTCTGAGGGGGGCAGGGCTTGCTCCTGAGAAGGCCAGATTAGGTGCAACTGGAACAAATACGTTTTTGGTACACACACCCTCGCTCTCTTGGGTTTTCCCTCTGGTTTTTCCTGAGTATTCAGAGTTCTCATGCCCTTGCCAAACGTGCTAGTGAGAAATGCTCTTCTAAATTCACTGACCCAGCCCTGGCCGGTGTGCCTCAATTGGCTGAGCATTGTCCTATGCACCAAAGGGTTGCTCGTTAGATTCCTTGTCGGGACACATGCCTGGGTTGTGGGTTCAGTCCCCAGTTGGGGTGCATAGGGGAGGCAGCCGATTGATGTTTCTCTCTCACATCCATCTCTCCCTCTCCCTGTCCCCTCCTCTATTCCTCTCTCTCTCTCCCTTTCCCCCTTTCTTTTGCTCCCTCGCCTGCTCCCTCTCCCTGACTCTAAAGTCAATAAAACATATTTTAAAAAATAAATCAGTGAATTGACCCAGCGGCTAAAGTGACTGATAAGGCTTTAAAAGTGCAGATGGTAAAGGCTGGGGCATCCGCTGGCTGGCAGAAGAGGACTGACAGGACCTCCTCCGAAGGACGCCACATGGTGGCCCTGCCTCTTGCTCCGCAGGTTTGCCACCCTCCCTCCCCATCACTTTTCAGGGGCCACCTGAGCGGGCCACTCACAGCGCTTGTAAGACTGGGCCAGATCCCCGTGGGCCCCTTGTCCCACAGAACCGGCGAGGATGGGCGGGATTTCCTCTCCATTTCTGTGGCACGGTCACCCAGCCTGCGGTGGAGACGGCCCTCAGAACAGGGCGGTTCCCTAGAGATGACGTCAGAGCCACTTAGCAAGTGTGTGTGCGTGCATGCAACTTAATACACCAGTTATGTTTACTGTGTCCTAAAATGTTTTTTAAATGAGATTATTGTTTGATTCATATATATATATGTATATATATACACACACACACACACACACACACACACACACACATATATATATATATAT